CCAGCCTTCATATAGCAAGATAAGTATTGTTACCTAAACAAATAATGGCACGTCCATCGACTTTGTTATAGATGGACACCCATCACAGTGTGATCTATGGTATTTGTAGTAATACGATGCATTATGTTTACAAGTGAGATGTTGAAACCTAAAAGCCCAACACTTAAGTCACACTGTGTTAGAGTGAAATCCCAAATGGTAATCATCTACGCGCCTTCATTTGGTGCCCAAGATATTATTTTTAAAATTTTTTTGGTGCCTAAAACATTCTAACGGAGAAGCACACATCGACATGAAGGCATTACGTATTGTTGTATCTCAAACAAAGCAAAGACAAAACAGAAAACAAATTCAAGCTATGACTATCACGATATTAACCATGAAGCATGGACCACCGGGGTTCTGACTCTGATTCATCGTGACTTGACCGGACAGAGTAGAACTGCCTCAAGGGCTTTTCATGGGTTTTGCCTTTACAGGGATCCGTGGGGGCCCTGTGGTCAATTAAGCGCGTGGCTGCTGACTGATGGGTTGGTGGCCGCCAGCTGCTCCGTGGGAGACGGTAACGATTGAGAGACTTGGAGACGTGACGGGGCAGCTTCTCTCTGTTCTATCAGGGCGCCATGAGCGGAATCAACCCCACAGTGAGGTCGCTTTTCAAAGAGTCTTCAGGGGAGCAGACCCCGGGTGTGTTTCTCTGGTGGAGCAGCTGGTTTGGAGAACCACCAATCTTTGGTTTGCTGCCAAGCGCTTCACCGCAGCACCACCACAACTCCTTAACCATGAACCATAGCGCACACATTTTAAACACAGACTTTTTTATGGATCTTTCCAGGTTCTTATATATTAATCAAGAGAAACTTCTTTTTCTAAATAATTCCTAAAGAAATGTGATTACGTCTTGAGTTATTTACCTCAAGCCCTCTAACTTGCTAGCTTAGACTAAGGTCTACTTGCTCTTATTCTCAGACACCGGTTGTCCCTGACTTACAAAGGAGTTCCCTTGGTTCTGACCGAAGCTGAGTACCCCCTCCCCTTTAAAAATATCTTTTCCTTCTATTATCAGCCTCTTTATAACTCCCATCTCTGAACAGCTGAGAACAGTACCCTGAGGCAATGATGCGCTGTGGCATCACATGGCCACACAGGCATCCTCTAGGGGAGGTCCTGCCAGCTCCCTCTTTAGTGAAAGAAACGTTTTCTTTTGGGATCAT